CGATGAAATTATTCAATTATCTAAATTAACTGTTGTTGTTGTTGTGCACCTTTGTCTCTGTCTCTGTCATTCTCTCTTTACTTCAAACTTCAAATGACCGTGGGGTCGGGTGCGACTGATCCTGCCATTACACTATTCAACTGGCAGTCAGTGACATATTGTGGCAAGCTAGTTACCATTAGGCGTAGGGATTTCATTAAAAATGCAAAGATGTTTAAACAAAGCTCTCTGGATAAGTTATTTAAAAGGCATTGCATTGAGTAAAAGGGACAGGCAATTGCAGTCAGAAAAGAGCCGTCTTGGGAAAATTCTGGTGCTGACATCAGGGGCGCTCCATCACCCACAAGCTCCTCTGGCTAAAAAATGACTGCTCCAGCAGCAGTCCCAGGACACGCATATGCCGCTGTAACATTATGATGGAATTATTGCATTGTTCAAGACCAAGCTTGTTATTGATTCAGTCTATACAACAACACTGATCAGCCATAACAGGTGAAATATAAACATAGACATAAACATCTGAACTATACAGATGCAATATCTTCCAAAAACAAAATCACTGAAGAAAACAAAACGTTAGACGGTGAATTAACAGCATAATGAGCCTATGTTTAATTCTGTATATATCTGATCCACCAACCAGCACTTACTTTAGAGAGAAAATATTTTTAACAGTCGGCCTCTCATTGGTCATAGTTTGTGCAGCTAACCACCATTTGTTATTGATGTGTATCCTGCACATGACACTTTATTTTCTGTTTCTAAAGTAACATGTTTTTAGAGACACGTAAGGAACTGTTAATATGTCATACTTTTTTAAGGGGCTTTGGTGCAATATTTTTCCCAAAGAGCGCAAAGACTGCAAACTGTTATGTTTATTTTATAACATTCTGTCAGTACTACAGAAAATATTAGGTAACTGCAAAAAATGTCTGACTGCTGTTAGTTTTTGGTTTGATGGCTTAATAATGTGTGGGTACTGATAACCCATGGCAGCAGGACTCAGCCTTGGTACATGGGGCACCAGCTCTACCAGGTGAGCTATCAGGGTGCCCCTGATCAGGCTAATAATCAGATTGCTCTTTATTGTTCTCAGAATCAGAATTGGAATCAGAATTAGGTTTATTGCCAGGTACGTTTTTACACATACAAGGATTTTGTCGTACAGGTCCTGGAGGGATGGCAGATTGCAGCCGATCATGTTCTCAGCAGATCGAGTGGCAGCAGCGTACCAGATGGTGATGAAGAGGTGGAGGCACGGACTTGACTTGTTGGCTCTGTAGGCGAACTGCAGGGGGTCCAGGAGTGGGTCTGTAATGGCTTTGGAGTGGGGAAGCACAAGGTGCTCCAAGGACTTCATGACCACAAAAGGTGAAAGGCAACGGGTCTGTAGTCATTGAGTTCTGTGGACCTTGGTTTTTTGGGGAACAGGGATGTGGTGGATCTTTGAAGCAGGCTGGCACATGACATGTCTCCAGTGTCTCCATGTCTCTCAGTTTCTGACACAACAGTGGAAGCAGTATGCAGTAAATGGCTGCCCTTTGTCACTCACTACTGTACAAGTACAATAAAAATCTAATGTTATTAAATAAACTTTTTAGTGAAAGAGCAGCTTTATTGGATCTTACTGGCTCTGAGCACTCCATGTTCTGAGCTGGAAACCTGTGTCTGTTCTTGCACTGTAACACGTATGGGCTATGGTCTGTATTATCTGTTTTTTGTGCTGGCTACTAAATCTAATAATAAACTCATCCATATCCGCAATTAGGTCACTCAGTCGCTCATCAGTGATGGTTGTTGGTAGGTGATTCTTTATCAGTCTCAGGGCGGAAAAAGTCTCTTCACAAGCAGCACTGCCTACTGGAGTTGCAATGGTAATTTTGTACAACTATATATATTCAGCTGTCTCCTTTTTATTAGGGTTCCAAGCCTGAATGAGAAGGGCAAGGCTATTTGCATGGAAGGCAGCAGGGCTAAACCCTATTGAAACTGTTCTGGTATTTTGTTGTGTTGTAAAACTCTGAGGCGGTGACTCCAATCTTGATGAAACTTTGCACGAGTCTGTGGACCATGCTGGTAAAAAGTTGTATAAAGATTGTAATACTTCAAAAAATCCGGAAGTTATGAAGGAACAACTTTGTGTAGTCTACCCTAGAAACAGGAAATAATGTTGAATCTCCATATTGGTTGGTCTCGGAAACCGGGGCCGGTGTCCTGTAAGGCACTGTGAAAGATCTGGCTCCATTGGCCACTAGTTGGTGCCATTTAACAGGAAGTTCTTATATCTCAGCAACCCCCAGTCTGATTAACATGAAACTTGGGTTAGATGATTCCCATGTCATATGTCCCCCGTATAGTTTGGTCCGATTACCACCAAACTAAGGGCAGTAGCGTCCCATGCCCATGGGGATTGACTTGTATGGCTTCTGCAAGTCATTGGGTGCAACTTTCGGGTCTAGTTGTTATTTTTTCTCTATAAAAAATAAAGCATTAACATTCTCTAACGTATCTATTAATATTACAAGCTACACCGATCAAACGACGATGCACTGTGGGTTTTTCAGCAATTTGATCTACAGTAGCTCGTCTGATGGACACACGGCCCAGCCATCGCTCCCCATGTGCATCAGTGAGCCCTGGCCGCCCATGACCAGTTCACGCTTTTCTTCCTGACATTGATAACGCAGATCAGAACACCCCACCAAGAAGCTGCAGTTTTGAGACGCTCTGACCCAATCATCTAGCCCATCAACAATTTGGCCTCTGTCAAAGTCACTCAAATCCTCACGCTGCCCCATCTTTCCTGCTATTAATTGACATATAACTTTGAGGGACAAAATGTTTACTTGCTGCCTACTTAATATATCCCACCCACTGACAGTGCCATGATAACCAGATAAAGTGGGCGGCTGTGGCTCAGAGGAATGCTGGGTCGTCTACTTAATCGGGAAGTGTGGTTCGATCCCTATCAGAAGGCTCCTCCTGCCACATGTCGAAGTATCCTTGAGCAAGATACTGAACCCCAAATTGCTCCTGATGCTGTGCATCGGTGTGTGAATGTGTATGAATGTGTTAGTTTCTGTTTGATGGGCTTCGCCTTAACTGAGTGAATGTGTGTGAAAGGGCGAATGTGGTACGTAGTGTAAAAGCGCTTTGAGTGGTCGGAAGACTAGAAAGGCAGTATACAAGTACAGGTCCAGTTATCATTTACCATAATCAGTGTTATTCACTTCACTTGTTAATGGTCATGTTATGGCTGATTGGAGTAAAACTGATAACCATGGTCTGGTCTGATTGAAGACAGAATAACAACAACAATTGTGAAGCCATTTTTGATATGCAAATAGAGCAAATACCAGTGTTGGAAGAAGTACTCAGAACTTTAAAGTTAAGTTAAGTAAAAACAAAAAAAGTAAAAGTTCTGCATTCAATTTTTTATTCAAATAAAACAACTATTATTAGCATAATCAAAATTATGGAGATGGTAAATTTCTAAACAATGTACATTAGATTATGTCGATAGATTAGATTAAGGTCAGGATAGAGTCTCCACTGTTGTAGGATGGTGATCAGGGGAATGTATGACAGGCTGCCAGTTTCCATCAAGTGACCACATGATGCCTGTGCTCCACAGTATTTCTGATGAGAACCATGTCATTTGTCTTCATTGAGACCTGCACCTCACCTCCAACTCCAGCCTCAGGCATTGGAAATCCAGCCAATGGTCATAACACACATTTTCCCCACCAACAACAAGTAGTTCATACATGTTTTGGTGAGCTGATTAGCAGCAATCATTATTAGTGCTCAGGTTTTTGTCTGTTCAGTTCTTTCAAGTGGACTGTTTTGCAATTAATAATATATTCCAATGTTTTTCTTTTCTGGTAAATAAGACAAGAAGACTGTCAAGATTATTATTATTGGGTTACTTAAATCCACTGTGTGTAGCATTTGAAATGTTTTGGCGCCTCGTTGTGGTAGAAACAAGAAGGACAGCAGAGACAGGTCTTCCTTTTTATGCTCATTTATTTATTGTCTTTACTTCTTCTTTTTAGGAAACACATGGCATAATCTCATATAACCATTACAATTTGCACTTTAATGGCAGCCTATCAGCTTGTCCTGCCTGCAGAGGTCTTGTAACAGTAACACTGTTTAATTGTTGCTGACAGCAGAGTAACTCTGCAGACAGAACCTATATAACCCAAATCACTCACCTGTTTCAAAGTTTGGAACTTTGAAGGTTTACTAAATTTAAAGGTTTGATAATTAATTTTTTTAAATCAAAATTTACTCTAATGATGTTGTGTATCAACAGGTTTCTGACCTCAAAACCCACTTCTGCTTCAGGCCCAAGAGGTTTTAGCTGGCGTGCACCCTGCTAATCATCAGACTAATATTCAGTGCCTCTTAAAATGAACAGAAAGCACTAGTTCTATCAGAGAGACATGTCAGAAACACTGGTGGCAACACCAGTTGCTTGTGTATGACATGGTTTAACATCATAAAACCACACAATTTGCATGATGATATAAATATACACACAAAACAAATGCTCTTGTTATTGTTGGCATGAAAGAAACAGAAGAGGACTCTGTTATAAACAGTACAAAACATTCACATTCAACTTCTACATAAAATACAATTGTATTTATTTTACCCTCTATAACATATTTGACATAGAGCACTAGATAATGACATCAGTAGAAAAAAACATTAGACAAACTATTTATTCTCTCTTGCTCTATTATCTTTTTTTCATCCAGTTGTATACATGTTGAGAATTTGATATTTAAATGTTCTATTCTAGGAATATGAAGACATTTCCTGACCGCAGGCAGAAACTGATAAAAGAGGAGCAGGAAGCGATGGAAGGCATTTACAAATTAGTCAGGAGACAATATTTCCTTGTAGGGCTCAGAAGTCTAACCAAGTCATTTGCATGTCCCTCCTTTTCTCTAGCATGTTTACAGAGCAGGACAGGAGCTGAATGAGAACTGCTGTCTGCATCGCTCTGCCTGTGAGCTTCTGCTCTTGAGGAATTTCAGCTCACTCTGCTGCATCTTCACACAGGCTCCTCACTGCCGGGACCAGTTCAACTGATGCTGCTTAGGACAATGTAAAACCAGGAATTATCATGGGTTTTTTTTGTTCATCTGTGCTTATCATTTGATGAGCTGTTGATCCTCTTTGTGTACCCACCACTCCAGTTTCCTCCCATGGCGTCTGAATCATCTGTTGCCAAGAGGGCCAATCTGGTGGCATCCAGGGTCCACTGGAGCCACATGGACCTTCCTGAGTCAGCTCAGGACCATGAGGCTCAGGGTATGGAAGCCAAGATACGTACGGAAATTAACGAATGTTACCAGGGATTTTGCAATTACATTCCAATTTGTTTAAGCTTTTTTAGGCTTTTTAGGCTATTTTTCTTGTCAGTCTGTTATGTTATGATGCCATGAAACATTTTTTGTCATATTTGCTGAAACTTTAACTATATCCTGACAGTAGTACATCAGACAGATAATCGGTGAAAAATATGTGGTTCCTCTGGCTCCTCTTAGTGCTCCTAATGAAATCTACCATGCCTGATAGAAAACAACCAATTCAGAGCCAAGAAAGGTCATTATCATTATTATTGTTGCTCTTTACCAGATTGTCAAATACGAACATTAGGAATGAGACTCAACAATCCTCAAGCCACCAACCCAAAGTGTCTTTCTATCTTTCTCGGCTCTAATTGGTTGTTTTCATTCAGGCATGGTGGACAGATTATCTGTCTCATGTACTACTGTCAGAATATAGTAAAAATTTTAGCAAATATGTTAAAAAATATATTTTATAAATATATAGTATAAAAGTTTTACAGTTCTTTCTTTTGACTTCTGATAACATTGTACTGAACAAAGTAACAGATCTGGGGATACAGTAACATCACCTCAACAAAAAATTTAAGAAACACAATCTGACAACTCAGGTATTACTTTAGCGAGCACAATGCCAGCACTATTAGTGAGACTAAAGGCCAAAACTTGACCTAAGTTCTGATAAACTTGGAGTTATCATTTAGCGTTGATGGTCGGTATCAATAGGACTCTTTAAACAGGCCTGCTCTGTAAGTTATAATCAGTGGTTGTTGTCACAGGCCTCATTATAATTTGTTACATTATGTCAACCACAGGAAGTTCGAGTAAGGACAGTGTCAGGAAATGGCTCACCACCACTGTCACTGAGTGAGTATCAAAATACAAGCTGCTATATCACTGTTAACATCAAATTAGTTGAGATTACAAAATATGGTATTGATTTTGGCCACGACTTTTAATTTATTTATGTTTATCAACCTGCTCCTGAGATATCTCCTGTTCCAGCCACTCAAAAAAACTTTTGTCTAGTATTTCAATCAAAATTGTTTTTCAGAGAAAGTAACACATTTTTGTGTACTGTTAAAACTTTTAAAAATGTATTCCTTGTGCTTTAATAATTCATACATTAGATAGACTGTAATTGGATTGTATTTTAAGATTTATACTTGGCCTCAAGGTGGCCCATTATTTATTTATTTATTTATTCATTCATTTATTCATTTATTTATTTATTATTTTTTCCATGGATAATGATAGGCATTGTGCAATAAAAAATGACACCTTTTCTTTTTAGTGTAATAATTCAGTTAAACCAGAATGCACAGAATTTACACCCACTTTCAATTAAAATTTTACATTTCGATTAATAAAAGTGGCTTCTACTTTAGATCTTGCCTCATGTTTATCAAATATTGACTTTTCCTTTTGTATCAACACTAATCCATTTGATTAGACTGTAGATGTTGGTACAGAGCATAGCTTCTAGTAAATAATGCATGACTTTGGGGCAGATCCACAAAAAGGTAAATATGGCACTGACTTTTGGGCCACTATTAAAGTACTGACTTAATGGCAGCATTACACTCAAACAACATCCCAAACAACATCTCCAACCCCCTCCATATTGTCTAGCCAATGACTTGACAACCCCCAAAATGATCAAGCTGTATTTCATCTCTGCTTTGTCTTAGTAAGAAAATCAGTGGACTTTTTTCATAAACAATAAAAAAGATTCATGTTTGAACGGATTTGCAAAACACAAAACAAAGTAGAAGTACGATATGGATATGGATTTTTTTCAGATGACATGATAATCGATAATTGTTAGATAATAGTTTCTCATGGCTGATATCAATAAGATAAGGATGATGTAATATTCCATAGCTCTGTTTTAAACAAATCTGACATCACTATTGTTAACACAACAACAACAACAACAGTTCTGGCTCTTAAAATGTTCATTTATTGTATCTAGTAAAGTTAATTTAAAAACTTCACAAAGATACTTTGGCTTTCATTGAACATAAAACATAAACATAAACATAAACATAAACATAAAACCACCTTAAAGTTTCTGTTATGTCTTAATTTTTAAAGACACCTTACAATTAGGTATTTGACACACTCCAGACACCATACCATATGTCTATGTAGCATATATAACTATATGATTGTATCACAATATATTGCCCATATCGTGTGAGTGTGTGTTTGTGCTTTCTTGTACTTTGTCCCTCCTTCTAATGAAATGTGACCTGTGTTTGCAGGGAAGATGCAAAGCAAGCGCCACTGCAGGAAGCTGCAGGTATGACCGATGGAAATCCTTCTTTTTCTGTTTTACCCGTAGAGAGGTGTGTATCGCCTTTAGTCTGTGTCAACTTTATATTGTCTTCTCCCTCGTGGTGGTGAGTACAATGTCTGTTTAGTTTATCACACCTCTGTAGTCTAGTGAGCTTTTTAGTGAGTGGTGTGGAATTAGACGAAGAGATGCTAAAAACTGTGGATTAGAGAATGAATGATCAGGCTGCGTATATTATGTCACACAGGTCAATGGTGAGTAGGGGGAAATGTAGACGTACAGTAGCTGACATGCAGTGAAATACAGTTACATAACAGTCTGGTT